ATACCTATGCATACCTATGCAACACATACCTAAGCATACCTATGCAACACATACCTCTGCATACCTATGCAACACATACCTATGCATACCTATGCAACACATACCTATGCATACCTATGCAACACATACCTATGCATACCTATGCAACACATACCTATGCATACCTATGCAACACATACCTATGCATACCTATGCAACACATACCTATGCATACCTATGCAACACATACCTATGCATACCTATGCAATATATACCTATGCATACCTATGCAACACATACCTAAGCATACCTATGCAACACATACCTATGCATGTACTATGCCAGAAACTGAGTTTGCTTGATTATGCCGGCAAAAAGATGGAATAATCTCTACCCAATCCCTTGCCCATTGAACAGATAACTGATTTTGTCTTCCCAGAAATACTAAAAAAACCTACTTTGTTTAAACAAATCCTGCTTGCTCATCGAGCAACTCACGATAAAAACATGCTAGCCTAAATGCAATTTTTACCAGCCCACCGGTTTTTTTTTATAGCACTTTTGTCATACCTTAACAAGACAACAAGAAACAATTATGGAGTTACAATTTAAGCTACTTCAATGCATTTCTTAATGAAAATCAAAGCAAAATTAGGAACACAACATCAAAAATAGGTGAAGGTAGGGGGCTGAATTAGTCATAGTTTTACTAGACGGATTTCTTGAGAATACAGTTGCAAATCATTCACAAGTGTAGCTGTATGTCTTTCTCACGGCACTCAGCATAACCATCGCACAATTTACCATTCACCTTGACAACTTCAAAATAACACGTCAAAGTAATTAAGACACTGAAGAACAACAATAAACTATATTTCACACTAAAATGCTTTTCCAACTCCCCCAATTAATAAACATAGCTAAATAAGGATTAGATGACATCAAAAAATCGACAATAAAGAAAAAAAGCTATCACTACCACTGCAGTAATCCTAAAAAATGACAGGAAAATATTACAGAATTTCACTTATTCGAGAAAAACTAACCACCAACAAACCTGCATGAAGTGCCACACTTGTTCTTCTGGATCGAGCCTCAGACTATAAAATAAAATTGATATTTACTTCCTAACCTCCTGAAAATGAATACCTTTTGGGAGGGAATCGCTAGTAGTTCAAATTTTGATCGATAAGCTAGTCCGCGCCACAGGTCTAGTAAAAAGTCAGCCTTCGTCTTCTCAAATCCTTGAAATAAAACCCCGAGCAACATTATCAATTTGACTGCTATCAATAACGCCATCTCTCTCCATTAAAATGATCTAGCTTAGCTTAGGGCATGCGCGAGAAGATCACTAATTTTGGGCGCCCGCACGCCGATTTCCCGCGCAAAATTTCTTAGGTAAACTTAGGGAACATATCAGGTACGGGGGATAAATTGACCAATCAGAGCGCGCGCTTTACTTTGGTTATGTTATAATTAGTTTTGGAAGCTGAGACCAAGTATTATTTTTTTGGCGGGAAAGTAAAGGCCAGCGAACCCGGGCTGCAAAGGGTGTACAGGGTTAAAAGACCCAAAAACAAATTTCTCCTGCCCACATAATCCCTAAGAAATTGATATTCGAATCCATCTTGCAGATGTCAATCTTAAAGCTTTGGTTAAAAGTCCTGTTGAAATTTCCAGTGGTGGTAATGCCAGTTTGAAAGTTGAAAAATCTTTGGAAGGCAGTTTACTCTGGAATCATAATGGAGAGATGTTACAAGGACTGGAACCTCACTAAGCCTTTTCGAACGCTAATAAAACCGAGCTAGAAATTTCTGATGGAAGCGCAGACCAGGCGGGAATGTATGAAGTTATACTCAAAGTTAGCACGTGCGAGTTACGTAAAGTAATTGAAGTACGCATATCAGGTTTGTTTTTTTTTTTCTGGTCTTGCTTTTCAAAAGTTGTTTTAGACTATGTGCTTGTTGTCACGTTTCGATTAAGTTCCAAAGGCAAAGGTCGAGAAAATAAATTTTCTTTTAAAATATCCGGAAAATCCTTTACGGGTAACATTAACTGTTTTAGAACCTGGGATTACGCAATCAGTACTATTTGGTGACTCAATCCAAGGCATGATATCACGTCTTCATTTTCCAAACAAGCTATTATCTGTTGGAATGATGACGATACTAAGTGTATATGTATAGCGCCTGTCTGCAGATTTGAGGAGACGGAAAAAGGTATCACTTAGAATAAACTGCGTGCTTTTAATTAATAAAAATACTGAGAGATGTTGACAACAATGTATCTACGTATGATGCACGATCCTCGCAGTAGATAGCGCTATTTAAGCAATAGCGAAAATCAGACCTGAAAAAAATCAGGCCTGTACGGGACTCGAACCACTGACCTGCTATGCAGCTACTTAACGGCCTGTACGGGACTCGAACCACTGACTTACTATGCAGCAACTTAACGGCCTGCTCCCAGTTGGCTTGTTAGCTCAATTGGTAGAGCGCTGCATTAGTATCGTAGAGGTCAGTGGTTCGAGTCCCGTACAGACCTGATTTTTTTTTCAGGTCTGATTTTCACTATTGCATAAATAGCGCTATCTACTGCGAGGATCATGCATCATACGTATCTAATACCGCAGTTCAAAATATATGAACTTCATATATTCATTGTATCTTATTTATCACTTTCACGGGTTTATTACGAATCAACTTAACGGCCTGCTCCCAGTTGGCTTGTTAGCTCAATTGGTAGAGCGCTGCATTAGTATCGTAGAGGTCAGTGGTTCGAGTCCCGTACAGACCTGATGTTTTTCAGGTCTGATTTTCGCTATTGCATAAATAGCGCTATCTACTGCGAGGATCATGCATCATACGTATCTAATACCGCAGTTCAAAATATATGAACTTCATATATTCATTGTATCTTAACAATGTATCTCTTCATATTAAAACTCACGGCATTGTAAATCTAGAAACTTGCAGACTTAACAATCATTCTTACAAAGTAGCAAACTCATGTAAAGTTAAGTGCTCGTAACAATGAGTGATACAAATCAAGTACTTGTGCAACCCTTCGACAAAAATATTGCTTCGTAGACACTGCTTCCAAAGAAGTCTCTTAAGACTCCTTTTTTCATTGTAATAATAGCGGAAAATTCAAGAAGTTTTAATTTGTGCGACTTGCGAGGACAGATCTCACAAAAAAACTTCATCTTACGACGAGAAATTTGTATTGCTTAGTGTATCTTGGCATTTCATTATTCTCTAAGCGTTTAAAGGACTCTCGAAGAGATTGACAGCGACAGAGACATTACTATGCAGCAATGGCTCTTAATAGTAGTGGCCTATTAAAATTTTCCTTTGCAAGCAAGCTAGATGCGGTCACCGATCATCGATAGGCAACGCTGCAGAAAATACTCCACCTCACCACTTTGCTCAGATGTAGATCATCAGAGCGCGTAATCTGAAGATGTTTGGGTTTCATGTCTCTTGAGGAACTCAGAGTTAATATTTGTCCCATACCCGCGACAAAACGGAAAGCCTGATATTTTCAGGCAATTTTACATTGCTGTAGAAAAGATACCTTTGTTTGCCAAAACTTATAAAAGCCACTGTGATCTACTCTACCGATTCAACAGACTCCAAGGATTCCAAGTTCTTCGGAATCGTTGACGGGAAATACTTGAAAGTCTTAAGTGGAGATTTTACTGGCGAGTGGCACGTTGCACCTGCTGTTCTTGGGGGACTCGTTCTGATAGTCCTTGTGTTTATTTCTTGCCTGTATTGGAAGGAAGATACGAAGAAAAGGTAAGTGTGTGATTTATTATAAATATCGAAGTTTTTCTCACCACTGTGATCTCGTTCAATACAAACTTGTCGTTACAATATTTTCCTTGATTCAAATGTAAATAAAAGGAATTGATTATCAATTTACGAAGCCCCGTATTGTCAAACAAATTTTCCATGTCAGTACCATAGGAAATACAATGAGAACTGTCTGGAGAATATGTACACTGATGTAAGGGTATAAAGGCTTAAAAGTAGGATACCCCATCTTGAAGTTAGTACGGGAAAAAAAAGCTTCTTCCATTTCTGGAATTCTTCTGCTATCTTACTTTCCTAATTTGTGTACAGCCCTAATCCTTACCTTATAACATGATCAGTTCATCACAAATTTCAATTTTCCTTTACTCTCAGACATTAATAATCATTGTGTTTATCATTTACCTTTGTAGAAAATGTGTTGTCTAGTACATTGGAGTAATCCCTAAGTAGGCACACTTTGCTTTCGTTAGGCTTTAGAAATTGCAAAAAGGATAAACGTTGCCATTTTTCTGATATTTATTCTAACTTTGACCTTAAGGTAATAGAGTATTTGTTTAATCTATCGTTTTCAGCACAACCAGCCCCGAGAAAGGTGAAAGACGCACAGAGAATAAGCGCACTGTCCAACATGTTGCGTTAAACGATCCTTGCTACACCGTTGAAAATGAAGTCACCTATGCAGCCCCTGTTGCGACAGACAAAAATGACTCAACCATTGACATGACAGTACAACCTGTCACCGCAAGTCATCCCCAGTCCTTTACTTTATGCTTGCGCAGTCCACCAGTATCACCGCTGAGTTAACTTTGGATTCACAGATGCTCTCACTGATGCAAGCGATGCTAATTATTAGAGCGACTTTGAAGAACTTGTTTAGGTTGTAGAAGATTTATCATATAATTTTATAAA